CGATACCTTTTTAAAAGCTCATTATCGTCAAATGTTTCTAAAATGTTTATATTCCGAGGCAGATTGATGGCAAAAGCCATTTTAGGATAGTTCAGATTTGGTCTTAGTGACTTAGGAGTCCTCTTCACTGCTCCTAATGTTTCACAGATTTAGGAGCTAGTTTTAGCGCTAAAACGCTTTGTGAAATACTCTTAGAACAAAAATGTAGGAGTCCTAAATTTAGGACTGACACACCCATTATTTTTAAGATTTTCTCCTAAATCGGCGAGTTATGAGCTACTTTTAGCCTTAAGATGTTTTGTGAATACGGGCCCTGATGTCTGGGGTTGCTAAGACTTTTTAATGTTTTTGAAAAGTCTTTTCTGCTCACTGAGGTTGCATTTATTTGATCAAAAACACAGTAAAAATAGTGAAATATTATTAAAATTTAAAACGGCTGTTTTCTGTGTGAATATCTGTTAAGCTGTAATTTATTTCTGTGATGCGCAGCTGTATTTTCAGCATCATTACTCCAGTCTTCAGTGTCACGTGATCTTCAGAAATCATTATAATATGCTGCTTTACAGCTCAAGAAACATTTCTGATTATTATCAATGCTGCACAATATTTTTGTGGAAACCGTGATGCATTTTATTTTTCAGGATTCACAGATGAATAGAAAGTTCAAAAGAGCAGCATTTATTTGAAATAGAAATCGTTTGTAACATAATAAATGTCTTTACTGACACTCTTGATCAATTTAAGAAGTAAAATGATAAATTTCTTAAACCTTTGAATGGTAGTGTATGAATAAATTGAATAAAAGCCTATTCATACCATATTCAAAAACATGCACAACATTTTTTAAATGAAACCGATAACCTCTATGTGTTTGAAATATTGTACAGCAATAATATGAGTTTGGAGGTTAGGTCAAATTGCTGAATCATTAGGATGTTTCTCAGAGAATGATAATTCGTCACTGGTATGTATATCTGTACAGAAGCTGTGCTGTCAGCGTTGAGTTGTACTGACCAGTGCGCGGGACAGTTCATGGGTTTGAGAGCGAAGGTGTGCGGCTCACAGGTCACCGTGAACATGTTCTCACTGTAATGCTCCCAGTGACCCGATCGCTCCCACAGAGACGTGCTGTACAGCGTCGGGGTCACGACCTCGCTGAAGCCCCGCCTCCTGTACTCACTCTGACAGGAAGAGCAAGTGCTTACATTAGAATTACATGTGCCATTATGAGTGCACTCCACATTTGTTTGGAGTAAGAATATATGTAATAATATGATTTCAAATTTTTGTAGTAATATGCATGCAGAAACTTTTAGCCCTGAAATTAAAGGTTTTTAACACTGTGAAACCTGGCATATGAATAGCCAGGGAAAGAAGAAGAAAAAAAAATATATATATATATTTTTTTTTCTTTTTCTTTTTAATGGATCCATTTATTGAAGCTTTAGACAAAATAATTTTAAAAAATCTGAAAAAAAAAAAAAAAAAAGTCATTGTTGAGTTTCATATTTGCGCCATCAGGCTTTTATGGCTCATGTAGTCTGATACAGTGAGAATATGGAGGAAAAAATCAGCTCAATTTAATTCAGAGGCCCAAACTAAGCAGAGATATGCAATTTAGTGCATATGCTGATATTCATATGGACAAAAAGTCTGATGAAATGAAAAGTCTGATAGCTTGTAAAATCAGTGAGATCTTCATAACAGCAAATACTTACATAAAATGACATAAATATCAGTCGTCCCTCTATATCTCCAATAATGTGTCTTAGTAAGATGAGATTGAAATGATCCAAACATATAATGCAATGCAATCCAATGCTGATTGAGAGATGAAGAAATAAACGCTCCTCAAAAGATCCTGATGATCAGATGTGAGACTCGTATTTTAACATGATTTTTCTAGAAAGTTATGAATCAGACGACAGAAGGCATGGAGTAGATTGTGCATGTGACAGCAAAGTTTTGATCATGTCGATCATTTAGAAACCTTAGAAATTTGTGTATTAAATATGATACAGTAGGCTTACGGGGTTAAGATTATGAAAAACATAATTTAAGGCAAGCATGTCCAAATGTTTAAGCGGTGCAGTATGCCTTTGGCCACTAATGACCTATAATAATGACCTACACCCTTCAGAGTGCTCACTTCAACCGCCCTAAAGACGGAGTAAATGCACATTTAAATGCAAAAAGCAATGCAGCATGATACACTACTGCTGAAAGTGGGAAATGGATGTCGCGAGCAGTGTGTGAGGGTGAAACCGTGCCGACGTGGAACGAGTTCGTACCTTTATAAAGTCAGTGAGCGTGTTGTATATATGAGCTCCTTTAGGCATGAAGAAACAGCTGCCAGGACTGACATCATGAAAGAAGAAGAGCTCCTGCGCCTGAGACAAGAACAACATCAGAGCCAGCTGGAAATATCATACAAACAGACAAAACAGTGCTCGGGTTTATGTTGCTCTGGCTCTTATGACACTCATCTCGGGCTCATACTGACACACAGCGGCATGAATGTAACGTCATGCAAAAGCAAATGCAATTGTACAAATGCAAGATGAAATCGCACTTGTTTATGAATCGAGACTATTTGGACTCCGTATGTTCATGCTGTCGCGAGCCTCACACAGTAAAGCGGTCATTAAAGCAATAAGCCCCAAGAAGCCGTGGTTTACAGTGAATTTATAACAGCTAAGGAGCGTTATTTACACTACAAACATACACCTTTGTTTACGTTTGTCTGTTGCTCGGCAACCACTTTGTAGCAACCACAACTGTTTCTGAGGAACTACATTGTTTGGTGGAAGAATACTGTTTATATTAATATCATTACACTTTATTTGCTCTGTTTTATTTTGTGAAACCTTACTACGTA